TATTATGACGGACCATTTGATTTCCAGGCCAAGAGGTTAATTTCCTTCCTGTATGCCATCCATTCTATAACGTGCAAATATATTACACACTGCTGGAGCAACTGTCCTCTTGGAAGTTTGGAAATATAGGTAATGATGGCTGGCTTTAGGCTTTGTAGAACAAACTGGGAGTTTATTTGAAACGTATGCTGCCAAGTTGCATTTTGAAAGCATATACAGAGAAGAGAAATGTACTTTTCAGAGAAGGGATGGAAGAGAATGAATAATTTAAACATTTCCTGTCTCCTAAATAACACCAAAAATATGTGCAAATATGTCTAAATACAAACATCTAAATAAGCTGTTAGTGTCATTTGTCAAAACTGGCAATCTCTTTTTATTAAAATTGAAAATTCACTACCCCTTCCTCCCTTCTTTGACTTTTTTTTTCTTTGAAAAGCAGAGATAAATCCCAGTAGTACAATTAAAACACTAGCTAAATATTACTTTGTTGGGCTTAACGATAGATTACAATGTGTGCATAATGACCCAGTTCTAGTAATATCATCTGATTTAGTAAGGAAATCAGAGTCTGCCATATGTTCACCAATAAGGTCTTAGAAATTCTTCTTCTTGTTCTTGATGTCTCAGCCAACTGCTAGCAAGGATGCTTTTTTGTCCTGAAATCGTCTTGTTTTTGAACACCAAGCACATTAAAGTCATAACCATGTGGCTCATTTTATCACGCAACCTCTAGGAATGAGCAGGGGGTGAATTAACAACCTGCCACCTGCCTACACTGAGTACCTTTATGAAAGGAAGTGTTCAAGTTGCAGGCCAGTCTGGAAACTGACTTCTTGTTAACAGCCCCAGAAAGGTATATACTATAGCTTTGGGGCTATTTGAAAGGATGAAAATCCATCTTGACATTTCCTTGAATATATTAATGCCCAATTGGCAAGATTCTTTACCACTTGCGACAAACTGGAGAGGAATATGAAAATCCAAAGCAAGAAAAAATAAAAATAGGGAGCGGAAAAAGGCTGTGTTGCGTGTTTAGCTGTGTATTTGCTGTAGATTCGTGAACTATGGTGCATTTTTGAGCAATATAGCTTTACTGTGTAAGGGTAAAATCCAGAAACTGATTGAACACTTGCTATACACTTATAGCTACTATGGATGATAGCAGAAGCCGCAGATGTTCATCATCACTCAAACTTTGACTGTCAGCTTATTTATACAAATCCTTTTTTCTTACTAGACTTCCTTACATTTTCTCAAACCCATATGTATCTGTTTTTCTTCGGCAGCCAGACTGGACTTTGAACTGTCATTTAATAAGAGCCTGTCCTACCCACCCTTCACTCCCATTTTGAGACAGCAG